AATGAGATATAATTTGAAAAAAAAACATCCGGCACACGATGTGTTCATTGTTTCACTTTCAAAATTCATCAAGCAGACCACATTGAACCCGCCCCCCAAGCGGGCCAGGTTTGGCCCACGGGCCGTATGTTTGACACCCCTGGTCTAGTGACCTATGATTCTCTCTCATACAGCCTAAAACCTACATCCAACATCCCCAAATGTGGTCCAAATGAAAATATATGCATTTAAAAAAGAAAACTCTGAAACACCTCCGCTGCAGCAACTTTCCCTCTTTAGCAGCAACATTAATATCACTCATGTCCATCAGCTGTTCTCACATCCCTCACTTCAGATAAAGGCTGAGTACGGGAGCGGTTAAGAGACGAGAGATGTTTGAGGGTAACTACCAGTTATCAGCATGAGGATTAGGGAGTGTCATCAGCAGACATATGCCTCATATTAGCCTCCTGGTGACACTTGACAGGGAGAGGGAAGAGAAGGAGGAGAAGGAGGAGGAGGAGGAGGAGGAGGAGAAGGAGGAGCCTTGGGGAAAGGATTACTCCAGCTGTATCATTTCATAGAAGTCAGGTAGAGAACACGCCTGTCAAAGAGAAGACTTTTAAAGATAAGACGTCTGAGCATGTGAAGCTGAATAACTGTAAGCGCATACATATATTTGACATATATATGTCATATACTCCATATATGTCAAGCCCCTGCTGGACTCATATGGAGTTCAATCTGCTGAAGAAATGTGTATGTGTATACATGTGTGATACATATACAAATACATATACCCATATATGTGTCTGTGCATATATATGTGTATATATATATGCGTATGTGTATGTGCATGCATAAATGTATGTAAAGTACCAAGTACCAAGGGTTCATGGGTAGTGGGGTGATTGTTGTTGTGTTACTTACTTATTTATTTAAAATGATTCTTTTTATTTATTACCTTAAAAAAAATGTTGGGGGTAGTGAATTTTTTTTAAAAATTGTCAAATTTCCTAATATATTTTAATATATAAATGGGAGGTGGGGATAAATAGTGAGTTACATGTACTGTTTTTGGTTGCGATATTTAGGTCTACGTGTGTGAGTGTGTTAGGAAAGGGGAGGGGCCAGTGTGGACAGCAGTAGGCTAAGTGTTTTCATGTGCTTTTCTTATTCACACACACACACACACACACACACACACACACACACACACACACAAACTGTCAGGAAAGCTGGCATAACCGCGTCAACAAAAACACACGCAGACATGCGTGACTCACGAAGTGACTCAAGTCCCTGACAGTAAAAACAACATCTGAAAACGTTTACTGTATTTCATTAACTGTCCATCCAACTCATGACGAGAAGCACTTCAGCGGATTTCCACCCTGCTCCACCTTGCCAGCTGGACTAACCTGGTGGCTACTCTTTACGTACATCACATGTGGCCATGCCTTTCCAAACATCTCATCATTGTTCTTCTTCTTCCTTATTCCACTTCCTCTTCACTGAAGTCACCCCGTGCTATCTCTGAGGCTATTCAGTGTGCACATAAGCGGCGAAAGAGAAACCACACCGATGATTTAACTCCGAGTGAGTTCACACATTCACCAGCCAACACTTCTGCTAATGGTTTTAAATAAATAAAATACATGTAAATGGTGTAAAACAAGATTAAAGAAAAGAGAACTGGGTGAGTGTTGAAACATGCTGTTGCCTTTGTAGTGACATCGGAGGGGCATTTGAACACTGCATGAAAAAGTAATAAATGATCTAACAACACTGTCTTAAATGTCCACTTACCTCTATAGTACCCAAGGTGGGGGGGCACTGGCCAAGGCATGTCTTTCGGTTGGCGGTCTAGTAAATTCACAGTCCAGGGCCATTTAGGTGTGTTTATAGCGCCACCTGCAGGGAAGCATGAGAAATTTGAGTTATCAATGTTTACATAGTATATAACATATAGATTTTATAGCTAAGTATGCCTTTCTTAACGAGTTTACAACAGTGGTCTTCTATTTGTTTTCAGTAGGGATGTCCAATAATATCGGCCGACCGATGTTATCGCCCCGATATTAGCATATTATGTAATATCTGTAAAAATCGTTATCATTTTTACCTCCGACAATGAAAACCCAATATCGCAATGCCTGGGTTTCGCCAAATGATGTTTGCTCTAAAAATAGTTTTGGGGATAAACGGCTGTATAATAAGTGAAAGTCACTAGATGGCAGCATTGTAGCTCATTTAATTAGTCTCATACTAATAGAGGGGGTTTTGCAGGTAAATAAATAAATGATACCAGGCCTATATCGGTATCGGTTGATATCGGAATCGGAAATTGAGAGTTTGGACAATATTGACATATCGGTCTAATTGCAAAGGGAAATAATATTAGCACAATCTGCCTGCAGTACTGTATGGATCCTGCAGGGGTCAGCAACCCTATGTTAAGGTCACCCTTAGTGGATTCTTTTGCTGTTTCCAAAATCACTCACATATATCGCCACGTCGTCATGGCTGCAATGCATGATGGGATAAATTGCTTGGGTAGTGACCATTAGTTGTACACCACTACAAAATGGCGTGCCCCGTATGTAGTGCACCAGGTAGGGCGAAGGGGGCGGTGTTGGACACAGCCCATGTTTCACCACTAAACACAAGTTTACCAATATTTTTTCTGAAGCTCTTTCAACTAAAAAGTCCTTTCATATGAACTTCATTATGGTGTGAGGCTGATCGAACATGCTGTCTGGTTCCATTCCTCAGACCACCATGAAGTCAGAGTCGAGGCAACGAGTGTGTAAAAAAAAACACACCATATGTCTGACTTTGAGTGTGTGCGCACACTCAAACCCTATATGTGCGTGGTGCTGCCGGGGCCGAGCGTCCGTGGGAGGCAGAGCAGGACTCCGTTCAAACGGCAGTTCGTATATCCACGCCAGGCTGTCAGTCGTGCTGCTGAGTCTTTTAGTGTGTGAGACTGTGTTGGACTTTTTGTTTAATTTTGACTTCCTGTTTTATTCTTGGCCTAATCCAAACACAACACAGCTGTGCAGTCGGCCAGAGCTTGGGGGATGGGTTGCCAGATCCTGGTGAGTGTGGCCATTCTGTACAACTGCTGCCAACAGATGGAAGAGAAATGGGGTTACCAGCTTGGGTTTATCTACTCTTTGTAAACTAGATGGACCCCCCCCCTCACCCCCGGCTCCACCACCCTTACTGACCAACACATCAGACACGCACACACACACACACTCTCCCTCCGCCTCAGCTGGTCAGTATTTAAGCCTTAAATCTCTGTTGGGGTTCTTCATCTTCTGTTTTCCCAGTTTTTGAATGAACGACGGGAGACCCCTTCCTGACAAGAAAAAGATAAAATATAGGTCAGAGATAATCAGCCGTGACTCATTCAAACACCAAATCACTGCAGGGATTATGCAAATACTCGGACTTTGATTTGGATCACATTATTTGTAAGCCTGTCCTCCTAAAATGTTGAGTTGTAGCCTCAAAGTTCAGACTTTAATTCCACTCACACACGCACATCGCTTCTATGGATTGACAATGTTCGTGTCTGACCTCTGTCCACGAGGGCGACAGACGGGGGAGTGGGGGGGGCGGGAGTGTTAGGAAGAAGTGACTAAGATTGAAGGATTTACATGTACATTATCGGTGGATGAATGGATGAATGGATGGATAGATGATAGATGGATGGATGGATGGATGAATAGATGGATGATAGATGGATGGATGGATGGATAGATGATAGATGGATGGATGGATGGCTGGATAGATGGATAGATGAATAGATGGATAGATGGATGGATGGATTGATAGATGGAGGGATAGATGGATGGATGGAACAAAGAACTCTGGGTATGTAAAGAGTCTTGTCATAGGTCACTGGCTGTGATATGATTGGCTGGGAGCTGTGCTAGATGATTGGGAAAAAGCTTGAATCCAGCCTAAATTAATTGTCAAGCGTAAGCATAAATAATGTAAAATGTTTCTCAAAATAAATACATTTACGCACACCCACATATGTACATATAAATATGTCTGTGTATATATATATATATATGAATGTCATTTTCCATACTATAAATATAAAGAGATGTGTTTATAGTAATGTACTGTAGATGATCAGATGCAGAAACAACTCTTGACTAAAGTTCACCTTCACTCTCTTCCTTCTCTTCCTGCCTGTGCAGAGCTCTCTCCCCAGTCTCCCCCAGTGGAGCAGAGAACATTTATTATTAATGGAGCACAGTCTCTCCCTTCTTCTCCGCTCAGCCAATTACAGCTGGGGCCCAGCGACTGCTGTCTCTCTCATTCGACGCTGCGCTGCTCCGCTTTGATGTCTCTATCACCACTATAGAAACCAGGCAGAGTTCTAATGGAGCAGAGGGGATTATGTGACTGCCTGTCTCTTGATTTTTTTTTTTTTTTAATTTAAATATGTCTTTAATCACCGCCTTTATCATCAGCAGACTCTGGGCCATGCTTCAGCCACCGTCTCGTCACTCCGTGCTCCCCTATCACAGCGACACGGTGCTTTAATCCTGTTACTCCTTCATCTGAGGAGACACAGCAGCCTGCGAGGAGAGAAGAAAAGAGGAGAACAGAGGAGAACAGAGGAGCACAGAGGCCGGACTGCCCGAGACCCGTGCTCCACCCTCCTGGGCTGGATGCCTTTTCCTTCCTCTGCCCATTTCACGAGAACGCCTTGATTAAGAAGCACCAGCTCCTCGGCTGCTCCCAGCACCCGTGGAGGAGGAGGAGGTCCAGCTGCTCCTGCAGCATGCCTCCTCCTCCTCCTTTCACAGTCCATGGTTGACAGTGATATACTGTTGTTTAAGTGGGCGGCCTGCCCCCGTTTAAACCCACAGCTCCACTGGACGTCCACCTCAGCTCCGACCTCTTATTAGCAGCACCGACCCTTCACAAAAATGAAAAGAAAGAAACACAAACAGGAAGTTACTCTTCACAGATGCAGCAGATGTACTATATGGTCTTTTGAACAGCAGCATTGGCGCACACCACACTTAGCAGTTAAATTGTGACGTCTGTTGTTGAACAGATTTACTAAAAAAGTACATGAAAAAGTACAAAAGGAGGATTCACTGGAGAGTGAATACTGCTTAGTGAATACTGATGATGTCATAGCTCATTGCTATATGTTCAGTGGAAGAGAGTGTAGACCCCAGCCAGAAACAATGGCTAAAAAACAGAATATATATT